TTTTCAAGATAGTTAAATTATTATTTCTTCTCCAACTATCATGTAGATATATATCTCAATCAACGCAGAATGGTGGTGAGCGTCGTCTGAAAAACTGTTTTGTTGCCAATGTTCCACTAAATTCGTTTATTCAATTATTTTTTTACCGAAAATGGCTTCTGTGTTTACACAGAGATCACGTGACTTTACACGTCCATACACACACTATCTTGTCGATTTCACATTCAGTGTGAAATAAGTTTTCCATCAATATATAGCTTTGTATGGTTCAGTAAATATTTTATATGGAAACACCCGTTTAGAAAATCAATACCAAAAACTTATACAGCATCCTTAATACAATTTCAAATCAATGAGAGAATATACAATATCTGAATTCCACCACCAAATGTAAACAAACAGAGACACACCTCTTGTGGAAACCAGCCTAGCACTAACGGTGCTGTGAATAAATACCCTACACTATTAAGAAACAAAAAGCTGAGACAGATGGGAAAAGGCTCTGCCAAACACCAACAACAGCGAAAAATGCAATTAAATTTAATTAATTACACTGCAGCCTGAACAAGCACAAACACAACAATACTTATGAAGTTTGTGCGAAATCCTGGTTATTCAATATCGTCAAGACTGGGTTCACATTCAAGTTAATAACAAATATACGATTTACTTGAATTCTTCCATTGTTGACCTCGATTATTTACCATATGTTGACACAATAATTCCGGTTGGCGATTGCACTACTGCATCTACATAGAGCCTGTATGTTATCTGACGAAGGGCAGGTGGAAGCTACGTTACAGCAAAAACCGTCAATATGTTCGATAATATTCACGCAATTCCAAACACAACAGAGTGTACGTAAATATATAGCAACACAAGCAGTACCAAGAAACTTCAGTCTTTAATACATATGATTAATTGCATACTTCAACTTGACAACTTCACAAACCCTGCCACTGTTCTTAAAGTTTCCGTAAATAATCATACAAGTCCGTGGCCTAAAGATTACCAAACGTCAACTTGCCGTCTATTTTCATCTGACCTTTCCTAAAACCTGACGTGTTTGTTCGCCCTGTGTTACCTCCACTTAGAATTAAATGAACTGTGGTGGCGCCCTACCGACCTGCCAACTAATAGGCAATTTTGTCGTCTACACACAGTGAAGGTATAGTGAAGGCTGATTGGACAGAAACAAGTAATAATGATTTGGGGGGAAGGGGGGCACGTTTCTTTTTTTGAATATTGAAAGTTATCCATAGAATAATGTGTTTACAAGGATTTCCAAAATGGCTGCTTTTTAGTCCCCGCTCGGGACTATTAGTTTGGGTTTGTTCTGTCCGTACATACGTCCGGAGCTATATCTCGGACACCCATTGACTGATTTTCTTCAAACTTCACATGAAGGCAATACATAATGTCTTACATATGCACGTCAAGTTACTTTATGATCAGAGAAAAAAATGACCGACTGGCAGCCATTTTGGATGTAAAATTTGCTATTCCTGATACCTAAACGTGTCTGCAGCAGTATCTCGGAGATGACTGGGCTGATTTGGATCAAAGTTGGTATGGTAATTATACATATTGGGTTATAGGTGCACGTCATATTTTCTCCATGATTCGAACAAATATGGCCGACTGGTGGCCATTTTGTTTTCATGGTACCCATGCTACTTTCTCTTGAATGCAATGAACGTTTCTCTTTAAATTTTGTATAAAGATAGTATACCAAGGGATACATTTGTACCAACATTATTTTTGTGATTCGATTCAATATGGCTGACCGACACCCAAATTTCCTGTAAAAGCCTTAAATCATCATTTTTACATGTCCGGAGCTGTTTCTCAGAGATGACTAGGCCAAGTTAGATCAAAGTTGATACGTTGATCACACATATTGGGTTATAGGTGCACATCATATTTTTTTCGTGATTCGAACAAATATGGCTGACTGGCGGCCATTTTGTTTTTCAGGGTATCCATGCTACTTTCTCTTGCATGCAATGAATGTTCATCTTTAAATTTTGTGCAAAGATAGTATACCAAGGGATACATGCGCACCAACATTATTTTTGTGATTCAATTCAATATGACTGGCTGACGCCCATTTTTTATGTAAAAGCACTATAAATCGCCATTTTACATATTCGAGGCTGTTTCTCAGAGATGACTAGACCAATTTGAATTAAAGTTGGTATGATGATCAGGGTTTTGTTTTTCATGATCCCCATGCCTACTTTCCTATGAATGCAATGAACATTTCTGTTTAAATTTTGTGCAAAGACAGTATAGCAATAGATACATCAATATGAACATTATTTTTGTAATTTGATTCAATATGACTGCCCAATGTCCAATTCTCGTGTAAAAGCACTAAATCATATTTTTTTACAAATCCGTCTCCTATTAATGGTTTCAATCTAATCTCAATGACATCAAATTGATATGTCAGATCACAAAATTTTGGATGGGGACTGTGTCATTAACAATGACTTGTTTTAATTATTTTGCACATCATTCTTTCTCTGTAAAAACTTTAAATATAAATGACGTGTATGTATGTATGTGTGTGAATCATCACACAACAATTTTTGAATGATTTACTGCAATCAACTTTTTCTGTTTTGATGGTAGCAAACTAACTTAATGCCACAGTCAAAGCCAATCTTTGAATACCGGTATATAAGATTACTTGTTGAGAATATTTGAATAATGGATAACAAAAAATTGTGTATTCATTTTTACTTGTTTTTCCAGTGTGTTAGTATAGTTAAGGATAACCAATATGCCTGGAAGTGTTCAATGCAAAGTTCCCTGTGTGTTTAAGACAAGGGTGATAGAAGAGAAATCTAACAAGAGACAGTACCAGCAATATAATGTGGTTGCATCAAATGAGCTCCAAGATTCCGCGATAGAAGACAGCATTGAAGAGGCGACACCCACTGAGAAATTAGATGGAACATGTGTTTATGTACATGAATACAAGGGTAGGGATAGTTTTGTCATATTTATGTCTATCATAACATCTCCAATTCCAAATTGGGTTATGGGTATTTTCATCCTACCATATTTGGGAACACAAATTCCAAAAATGGAACGATTACGCACGTAAGGCTGCTCACAGGATTTGACCCCACACAAAGAAGTTCACTAAATCTGTTCTGAACGTTTTGGAATTCCGCATTCCCATGATGTATCCCTGGAAGGAAAAAATAACTGCAAAGTATGCACTCAGACAGTACGCAGTCGCATCAACCTCCGCTGCGCGTCGGTTGATACTGCCACTGTACTGTCTTTGTGCATGCTTTGCAGTATCCTCGTAATAACCACATATTAATATTATTTTCTGTTATGTAACACAGGGCGTCCATGGCTATGGGCACGACTTGACAGAAAACCCACTAAGCAAGCAGATAAACACTTCAAAAGATATCAAGCTGCAAAGAGGGCGTGGATGTTAAATGGAATGTCTGGAGAAGAACCGATGTGGAACTGGAATGCCGATAAAGATTTCAGAACTGCACGTGATAGCTGGATTCCAGCCAAGGGAGTGCCAATAATCAATGGAACTGCACAACCTGATCTATATGGACATATACCAGGTACCGGTTGTGTATGTCTTTTCATTTTGAGTTGATACTTTTGCGAGAAAATGGGAGCATTTAAAGTAAAATGTACTTGTCAGATCAGCTGATCATTCACATTGTTCGACCAGTCAATCTTGCTGGCTCTTAATGGCAAGATTCACAGTCTCAAAACACCAATAACTTTGTTATAGATTTAATCAATACAGTGGTGTTGTATTAATCGCATAGATTCAAAGTCGACCAGCCATGACAATCCCGATAAACTTTTGCATGATCTTGTTAGGAAAAGATGTATTTGAAATTGGTTAAATTGAATGATTTGATTGTATGCCCTAAAAAGCAGGATCCATCAGTCAGTGTTCTTGTGACCACAACTCGCATCAATTTCGAATTTAAACTAATAGATTTTGCCGTCTGATATCATGTCATAGTTTAACCGACATAAACACACAACTATGTGTCGATTTCCCAAGGAAATGCACTAGAGCACTCGCCACTGTGTTTGATTTTGTCAAAAGTGAATACAGGTTTTTAGTGGGAGTTCTGCCAGGGTAAAATGGTGAGGCGACGATCCAAAAAATTAACCTTAACTGGCGATGTGTTGTATCCAACTACATGGTTTTGGAACCTAATACAGTCAAACCTGTCTATAGCGGCCACCCAAGGGACTTTCAAATTTTGGCCTTTATAGACAGGTGGCCTTTCTATACAGGTTCACTAATTTATTCATGAATGTTAATTAGGCACTGAATCAATGTATTAAAACAGATTGCGCAACCCCATTTGACACACTATTACACTGCTGTACACAGTATCCAAACAGGGACTTATAATTCGGTCTCCGTCTGTGCGTCCATGCGTCTGTGCGTCCGTCCGGAGTCATATCTCAGAATCCCTTGGACCGATTCCATTCATTCCTTGCATGTGCCTAGTACTTTATGTGGGACATATGCACATGCAGTGGTTTAGCGATTCGATTCAAAATGGCCGACTGGCAGCCATCTTGTTTTTTGAAAATGTTGCATTTTGGACATGCTTTGTCAGTTGTCATTCAAATTTAGTACATAGATCATACATGTTAGGATACATGTCCCCGGCCGTCCGTGAGTTTCTGAGTCTGTCCGTGTGTCCGTCCGTCCGTCCGTGCGTCAGTCTGTCCAGAGTCATATTTCAGAATCCTGTGGACCAATTCCGTTCATTCTTTGCATGTGCCTAGTACCTTATGTGGGACATATGCACATGCAGTGGTTTAGCGATTCAATTCAAAATGACCAACTAGCAGCCATCTTCTTTTTTGAAAATGTTGTATTTTGGACATGCTTTGTCAGTTGTCATTCAAACTTGGTACATAGATTATACATGTTAGGATACATGTTCATGATGATTTATTTCGCAATTGGATCAAAGATAGTCAACTGGCAGGCATCTCGTTTTTTTGTTTTTTTATGCGGTATCTCTTTATGCGTGCTCTGTCAGTTTTCATTCAAATTTGGCACATACATGTACTTTATACATGTTAGGATGCATGTCCATGACAATTTGTTTCAAAATCTGGTCAAGGATGGCCGATTGACAGCCATCTGACTTTTTGGCCTTACTACTATATTTCCACAATTTATGTACCATTTTCATTTGTATTGGCACATACATCATACATATCAGTGTGTTTCATAATCAGATCAAAGATGGACGAATAACGACTTTTTATTTTTGGCCATATTACTACTACACGGAACACGTGTTTTGATGTAAATAAACATTCTGTTGTATACGCCGCTTGGAACTCAAGTTTCAAGGACAGGCTCGCGACAACCCCTCTGCTTTAATATGACGAGCACAAAGAGAACTTTCCAAAATTTAATAGGGACTGTGTCATTTTCACTGACTTGTTACAAATAAAAAATGTTGATTTTAAATTGTAATATGTAAACTAAAATCATTTCACAAAAATCGATCATAGCACAATAATGAGTACCGGTAGTATGAAAATTAAATATTTGAAGATTTGTACAGTAAAGTTCATGTTCAGCAGCAGTTTTAGTATCATTTCCTACTAAAGAAATTACTCAGCTTGCTTTGCTTAGCTATTCTGAATTTGTATGTTTCTTTTAATATCTATTGTGTCTGGTAACTGTTCTAATAAATCGGAGTGTCTCTGGGCTATAGCAAATTCTTTCAAGGAGAAGGGAGAGGGACAGTACGCAGTGCTTTATCCCTACAACGTTACATATACGAAAAGAACACTTATCTATTGTAGTGATGGATTTTCTTCCAGTTACGTGACAACTTGAAAGTTTCCTCCCCAATCACAATTCCCGTAACATTTTGTTCATTTTGTTTCAAAAATCTTCTCGACATATCTCACTTACGAAATGGTTGATCCCTAATCAAAACAATACATTGCGCAATCAAAATCTGTGCGACTTCCATGTTATTGTACTGATGCAACAATAGAAACATGTGAAATATGCCTGGTGACTTTGGCCGGTGAACTGAGGTCAATTTAACATCATTGTTAAAAGCATCTATTGTTAAATGTACCGAGGCAGTAGCAACCGAGAAAACAAAATAGTTGAATGAATTTAGTTGGACAACGAGACGATACTGCACACACATTCCCTCACAGTGATCGATACACAGTAACGGAAACGACTCTACTTTTTGACCCGAGTTATCATAACCCCGGAGAACAAGAACGCACATGCGCAAGGCTAATTAGCATAATTTATTTGGATGGATAAATACCAGGCATGGCCGTTGCGTTGATTTTTTTTGCTATCAGTTCCAATTACATGCGTATTTATCGATATTTATAGGAGTTCAAAGTGAATAAATATCGATACTAAATAACAAGTGAGTTTTTTTGTTGGTAATCAATTCGATTTACCATCGGCATTCCGATTCACCTCAGCCACATGCATAGGAACTGTGACTGTGTCGTCATCGCTGTGGTTGCTCGATTCATTCATTGAACAAAATTGTAAGTTATTCCCATGGTATACATATTTCAACAAAACATTAATGACAGCATGTTTTTTTATCAAGACACTTTCAAATTCTTAATTATGTTTTTGGCATTCCATAGCCATTGGTGCGGTGTGCTTGCCGTGGAAAACTGAATTATAAACAAGAATAAAACATAA